AAAAGAATTAGGAGCAAGCGAAGTGAAAACGCAAAGAACATACTTTGTGCAAACTCTCTTTCTTGGCTATTTTGCCTAAAAACTTTTGTCGCATACAAAGATTTCAGATACAGATTAATAAAGAGTGCTCTTGTTTCACAATAAAGAAAAAAACCCTCAATTAAACTTTCAATCAATTTTTCAAAATCCTTACCAAAACTCTAAACTAATTTTAATCACGTTTTGAAAAAAAAATCAGTCAAGGTAGAAAAACGAAAATTTCGAGCCAGTTTTTCCACATTTGTATTTATTTAGCATTATTAAACAATTTATGCTTGAAAATGTTAAGTTTAAGGTGAGGAGAAATGAGGAAATCTGGATAGAGCTGGGGATTTAGTTAATTTTTTTATGAGAAATGTTGGGTTTGCTTGCAATTTAAATAATTTTTAAAACCCACCGGGAGCCCAAAATTAAAAAAAAAAACTCTTGAAGCAAAGAAAATTAAATATGCTTTCCATAAGTTGGTTATCACATTTCACAAGTTATTAACACTTTGTCTTATTCACACTCTCTCTTGTCTTCTTTGAGTATTATTTTAGTTTCCTCTTCTAATTGAGAAGAGAGAAAAATTTAATAAAATTCCCACCTTAAAGAATTAGTAGTTGGGAAGAGAAGACGGCATTTTGAGTGTGCGACTTGAAAATGTTGAGTTTAAGATCAGGAGGGATGACGACGTCCGGACTGAGCCGGAGATTTGGTAAATTTTTTCATTTATAAACCTGGGGTTTACTTGCACTTTAAGGAACGTTGAAAACTCAACAAACAGTGGAATACATAGATAAAAAAAGGAGTAAAACATAATTTTTGTTACCTTAAAAAAACATGGTTTAGTGTAGACTTGAAGCAAAGAAGTTTAAATATGCTTTTCAAACAACAGTGCTTAACTTACCTTTTCATATTTTCGGTCCATCATTCTCAGGGTTGCAAAAAATCAAGATTTTAGAGAATTTGCGGGAAACATTACAAACGTTCAGTTCCGACTGTCTTTTATAGGATACGTAAATTTCAAGTTTCTGCCTACTCTGGATAGGAAGTTATTTTAAATAATTAATATATATATTTTGAATATTTTAAAGAATTCTATCAGTTCTTCCCAAATCTTCATTTTCGATCCTTTCGAGCAAAAATCAGAAAGCTACCCGATTTGAGTGATCTTTTGCGGAGTTTGAATCCCAGGTTTTTCTTATCGGATGTGCAAAGTTCAAGGGTTTACCTGTTCTGGATTGAAAGTGAGGACTTTTTAAAGGAGGCCGTGCAGTTGGGCTTAAATGTCCTTTCAAGTGTAACATTCGCAGGGCTGCCAGCCAATCAGAATTAGGAATTAGGTTGTTTAACCGAAAACGTACAGTTTTACAGGTACAGGTTACAGAGTACAGGGGAAAATGTTTATTTTTGGTGCATCGTTCACAAGATTGCCCAAACTCAGAATTTTTCTCGATTTGAGCAAACTTTAGCCGGTGTTTAGCACCAAGTGTCTTCTATATGGTGTGCGAATTTGAAGTTGCTATCAACTCTTAGGTGGAAGATTGGAATTGTTAAGAAAATTGCATCGTTGGATAAAATTGTTGATTTTGTGTTCATTGTTCGCAAGGTTGCCAAAAATCAGACTTTTGCGCGATTTGAGTTCACTTTAGCGGGTGCTTAGTCCCGTGTGTCTTCTATAGGGTGTGCAAATTTCAAGTTACTACCCAGCCTGGAGTAGAAGGTGCAATTTTATAAAGGAAAACGCACAGTTGCGTGTAAAATTTAATTTTTGGTTCATCCTTCACAAGATTTCCCAAAATCAGAATATTTTTCAATTTGAGCAATCTTTAGCCTATGTTTGCCACCAAGTGTCTTCTATATAGTGTGCGAATTTGAAGTTGCTATCAACTCTTAGGTGGAAGTTACACATTTTTAAGGAAAATGCATAGTTGTGTAAAAATGTTAATTTTGTGTTCGCAAGGTTGCCAAAATTCAAAGTTTTGCGCGATTTGAGTACACTTCAGCGGGTGTTTAGTACCGTGTGTCTTCTATAAAGTGTGCAAATTTCAAGTTGCTACCCAGTCTGGAGTAGAAGGTACAATTTTAAAGAAAAACGCACAGTTGATGTGCATTGGATGAAATTGTTGATTTTGTGTTCATTGTTCGCAAGGTTGCCAAAAATCAGACTTTTGCGCGATTTGAGTACACTTTAGCAGATGTTTAGTTCCGTGTGTCTTCTATAGGCTGTGCAAATTTCAAGTTACTACCCAGCCTGGAGTAGAAGGTGAAATTTTTTAAAGGAAAACTCACAGTTTAGTGAAAATTTTCATTTTTGGTTCAATCTTGTGAAGATTGCCCAAATTCAGAATTTTTCTTGATTTAAGCAAGCTTTAGCCGGTGTTTAGAACCAAGTGTCTTCTATATGGTGCGCGAATTTCAAGTTGCTACCAACTCTTAGGTGGAAGTTAGGAATTTTAAAGAAAAATGCATCGTTTCGTAAAAGTGTTGATTTTGTGTTCATCGTTCGCAAGGTTGCCAATTAAAATTGATGACAATTTGAGTATAATTTTGATAGTTTACAGCTGCGACCGTCTTCGAAAGGATGTAAGAATTTTAAGTTGTGACTTATTTCTTATTCTGACTCTGGAGTCAAGGTTAGGAATTAAAAAGAAAATCTGCAGTTGAGTGAAAATGTTTATTTTCGGTCGGTCATCTATAAGGTAGCCAAAATCAGGTTATTCCAGGATTTCACTCAAATTTTGAGGGTGTCTAGCGCCATGAGCCTTCTTTAGGATGTGCAAATTTCAAGTTGCTACCTCTTCAGGAGTGGAATTGACGAATTTTTAAAGGAAGGCACACCGTTAAGTAAAACTGTGCATTTTTGGCCCATCATTCACAAGGTTGCTCAATATTAGGCTCTCACGGGATTTAAGTGAAATTTTGCGCGTATTTCGTCCCAAGCCTCTTATTTAAGCTGTGCGAATTTCAAGTTCGCACCTATTCTAAGTTCAAAGCACTGAATTTTTAAAGAAAGACTCCTAGTTGGACAAAAGTGCTTATCCTTGGTCCATGATTCACAAGGATCCGAAAAATGAGGCTCTAATGCGATTTCTGTGAATTTTTTTTTATAGTTATAAGTAGAGGGCGGAAAATATGCAAAGTGCATATCTATGCATTTTTTGCATATTTTATCCAATTTCATGAAAAATTGCATATATCTAAAA